CGGCCGCTGCGCGCAGGTGTGGCGCCGCCGCCTTCCTCGCCGACGCGGCCTGCAGAGCTGGCGGCCCCCGCGGCCGCTGCCGCCGCTGCCGGGAGCTCGAAGGCCGCCGTGGAGGCCGCAGCGCGCTCGGCCTCGACCTCGCCGATGCGGCCCGCGGGACTGGCGGTCTCCGCGGTCGCGGCCGCCGCTGGCGGGGAGGCCACCGCGCGTGCGGCTTGGGGCCCCTTCCTCTGTCGGACATCCAGTACCTCGAGGTCCTCCAGCTCGGCGTGATGTTCGGCGTCGGGTTCGGCGTCACAGCGCCGTGGGCCAAAGTCCTCGTGCCAGCCTTTTTGAGGTACTCCAGCTGTGGGCGGTCAGCACGGCATCAAGAGGCCTCGGCCCAGCGCGCGAAGCCCAGGCCAGCCGAAGCAACAGCAGCGGCGGCAGTCCCACACGTCCTGGGCCATCATGAGCTGCATCCGGTGGAAAGCGTGGAGATCGCCGTCGCCGACGTGCAGCTGCACCGCTTCGCCAGAAGGCCGCGTGGCCAGCTGCGCCCAGCCGTCCGTTGCTGATCGTCTCGAGCCCGCAGCGCGGGCTGCGCAACCATGGCGCTCGACTGACGTAGGAACGGCATCGCATGCAGCTGTTCCCGTCCTCGTGCAGCGAGCGGGAGGAGCTGAAGGCCGCGACCAAGCCCGGCGCGGGAGGCGCTCGGCGTGCGGGGTGGGGGGGGGGTTCGCGCGCGGCCGCTCGAGCGGCCAGCAGCGGCAGCGGCGGCCGACGCGGCCAGGGTGGCTCGCAGGGGCCTCCCGCGCACCAGGGGGGCGAGGTGCTCGGCGCCCTCAACCTTCTGGCGGACCTCAGAGGCCACTCGCGCCAGCTCAGCAGCGAGTCCCGCCAGTGCGCCCGCCATCGCGTCTCGCCCCGCACCACGGCGAGCCGCACCCCGCGCTCCAGCGCCTTCTCGGCGGTGAGGCGCGAGCTCGCGTGCTCCAGCGTGACGTCGCTCCTGTGGCGGTGACCGAAGATGGCGCCGAGCTCGTGCCAGAGGTCGGCGTCCAGGCCCTCGGGGTGCTGGTCGCACCGCTTCCCCCAACCCTCGCAGACCGCAAGGCTGTCGGTGCAGAACACCGTGGGCCCATGGGAATGCGCCGCCGCCAGCGCCACAGCTTGCGCAGCTCCCCGCGATGTACCGTCTGGCGCCGTCCAGCGAGAGTGCCGAAGACGGCGTGCGCGACCTCGGGCACTTCGGGTCGGCGCCGCAGACAGTGACTCCCACTCGCCTGAGACGCCGCTTCTTGGCCGCGGTCCAGGGGAACACAAGCAGGGAGGGGCCCAACAATGCCGTGCTCGGCCTCGCCCCCGTCATTAACGAAGCGCTCTTCACCGTCGAAGAGCACCCCTCTGAATCCTCATCGAGGCTGTCATCCTGTCGCTTTATCAGCAAGCGTCAAGCAGATAATCAAGGACCAGAGCGGCGGTGGGCTCGGGGTTTGCCGAACAGCGCCGCGGGAGCCCCCACCGTGCCAGTGCCCAGGCGAGGCTCGCCCGATGCATCACCGATGCGAGTCCAGTTGGTCAGCTCGGGGGGCTCGGGCACGCGCGTCCAAGCAGCAGGCAGCAGGCCGCGAAGCCAGAAGCAGGGGGAAGCCGTGACTTCAGCACACGCCCTCGCGATCAGGGGAGCGCTCAGGTCATGGGCTTTCGACCCGCCATCGGCCTCGCACTACCAGATGCGATGCATGGGCGTCTCCAGCGAATGCCCGCAGCGCGGGACATGCAGGCGGCGTCCTCGCTCAGGCCGAAGACCTCGGGGACGCGCGATCCAGGCCAGGCGCAACCAGCCGCGATGGTGACGAGCATGGAGGCCAGGTGCTGGTGCCGCGGAGCCGCCTCCAGCATCTTCACCATGGCGCGTGGCGAGGACATGTCGGCGCCGTGCTGCAGCCCCTCGCCACACCAGTGCGTGGACGCCTCGAGCCAGAGCTGCTCCTGCACCGACTCGTCGAAGGCATCCAGGGGCAGCTGCACCGAGCCGTCCGCCAGCGCGGCAGAGTCAAGGAAGGTCCAGCGCTCCCAGCCGCCGTAGGGGCCCACAGGATCCCAACCGTACTCCATGAGCAACGCCTGCATCGCAGAGATCGGTCCACGAACATGGCGATGACGTTGAAAGGGAAGTGCGTCTCGCAGCCAATCATGGATCGGGATCCACGCTCGCTGGACGCAGGAGCAGGAGGAGGAGGAGGAGGAGGAGGAGGAGGAGGAGGAGGAGGAGGAGGTAGGCAGGGATGGGGGAGGGGGGAGGAAGAGGAGAACAAGGGGAGGGCGGGGACTGGAACGACGACGAGGAGCAGGAGCAGGAGCAGGAGGAGGCACGTGCACGGCAGCGGGGGGAAGGCGACGGGGGGGACGTGGAGCAGGCGGATCCTCGGACCTCGGACTTCGATCCTCGACTCTCGAACCTCGACCCTTTGACCTCGAGGGAGGAGGGCGGCGGATGCGATGCTCTCGCGAGGTGGTCCGGCTGGACCTCTCGACGGTGCAGCTCTACCCCGCGGGCGCGGCGGAGCTGGTGAGTGCGATGGCGGGCGACCCGGGCTGCCCCGTGCAGGCCCGCACGCAGCGGAAGTGCACAGCATAGCCTGCGCAACACGGGTCACGCTGTACAGCAGAGGAGGAGCGGGCAGACTTGCCGCTACGCTTCCCTCGGTTTTCCGCTCTTGGGCCTCCTGGGAGGCCCTGCCCTTGTCGCCGCCGCCGGATGCGCCTCGGAGTCCTGGTCCGAGCGCGCCCCAGGAGGTCCGGGGAGTAGCGGTGTCAGTACCCGTGGGTCTCCCCAGGCCACACCGCAGAGTTCGCACAACATGAGCTTGCGCAGCCATCTCTTTCACCTCCACAGTGCAGTAACTCAATGTTCGGGAGCCGCCCTCGCTAGTAGTTGATCTAATGTTTGAAAAGCCGTGCTCTGGAAGAGGCTTCCTTCAGAAGCCCGACGCACTCTCATGGGGACTCGGGACGCCCCCAGACGAACCCCCCCCTGGCAGGCGTCAGGCCGGGTTTCTCCACGTGCTGGGGCTCGATTTACCGCGCCAGTCTCATTCGTTTAGTTCTCTCTCCTCTGACTCTCTCCTAGACATCGCTCGGGCGTGTGCATGTGTTTCTAGGCGAGGACCATCGAAGAGCCTTTTGGGCCATCTTGCAAACAAATACACGCACGAAGCCAAAACATGCACGGGGAGTGGACGTCGGAGCACTGGCAAGTCGCCCAGCATCAAGGGAGGGAAAACCACCCGGACCCGACAGTTGGCGTCTACTGGACGGCCCTGGGCGTGTACGAAACGGCCCTGCCCTCTTCGATCCCTTCTGTGGGCGCGTTGGCTAGACGGCCTCGCGTGCCGGGGTGGTCACTATCGGGGTGGATTCTCCGCCCTCTGCAGCAACGGGTGGAGGAGGAGGAGGAATAGGAGGAGGGAGGAGGAGGAGGAGGAGGAGGAGGAGGAGGAGGAGGAGGAGGAGGAGGAGGAGGAGGAGGAGGAGGAGGAGGAGGAGGATGGGAGGAGGAAGGGGAGGAGGAGTGGGGTCGGGCACGGTGCCCCCCGATGGCCTCGGGCCCCCTTTGGCGGGAGGGCGCGCGGCTCCAGGCCTCCGGTGTGGGGCCCGAGCGGAGGGGGCGGTGCGGCTCGCTGCGGAGCCCGCTTTTCTCCTCGCGCGCGTCGCTGAGGCATCGCCTGTGCGTCGCCGATGCCTCGCCGAGGCGTCGCCGATGCATCGCCGATGCCTCGCCGATGCGTCGCCGATGCGGCGCGAGCCTCCGGCCCCAGCTGCGCGGACCCCATCTATATATACATATATATATATATATATATATATCAGGAGGGGAAACAATCACACAGACACAATGAAGCGTCGACTCCCCAGGAAATGGGAAAATCTGGGAAGTGGGGGGGAAGACAAACGCCTGGCAAGTATGGGAAATCATGGGGCATCTTATCATTTGTGTCTATTTTTATTTGTGCGTCCCAGGGCCCCTTCAATATAGGAGGCCTCCCTAGCGGCGCGCGAGCATTGCGCGGGCAGGCGCTGAACGTGTGCAACACGCGCCTGGGGAACCAGGGCGGGCTGGAGGTCGCGAGGCTCCTCGAGGCGGGCCACCCTCCGCTCCTGGAGCTGGACCTCCAGATGAACAAGCTGGGCGACGCCGCCGCGGAGCGCATCGGATGGGCCCACTTTCCACCACCACAGCCACAGGTAGGAGAGGGAGGAGGAGGAGGAGGAGGAGGAGGAGGAGGAGGAGGAGGAGGAGGAGGAGGAGGAGGAGGAGGAGGAGGAGGAGGAGGAGGAGGAGGAGGAGCTCCATGTCCTCCCTTCTCCCCCGTCCTACATGTGGTAGCGGTGGTGGAAAAGTTGCCCATCAGCATCGGCGCCGCGCTGCGCGCGAACCAGACCCTGACGGCGCTGCACCTCAGCAGCAACAACCTCTTCGCGGCCGGGGTCGCCGGCATCGCCTCCGCGCTGGAGGCGCAGGGGCAGCCGAAGCGACCCCTTGCAGACCATCCCCTCCCGTGGCGTCCCCCTCTCGCCTCGCCCCAAGGCGCGTGTGCACGGCTCGCTCCTGCGCGCGAGCCCAAGCTGCAGGCGGAGGAGAGGAGGGAGCCAACTGAAGAGTCTGGGAGACACTGGAAGGAGGGAGGCTTGAAAGGCGAGGGCTGGGCCGGGTAAGGAGGGGGGGGGGCGACCAACGGAGGGGCAGCGGCGGCTGGAGCAAAAGGACTCCCGGGCCCCTGGAGGGGGCCCTTAAAGGGCCTCGAAGGGTGCCTCCAGGGCTCCAGGGCCCGAGGCTTGCACCCCTTTCTTCCCCGCCCCCCATGTGTCCCCTGAAGGGGGCCCTTGAGGGCCTCGAAGGGTGCCTCCAGGGCCCGAAGCTTGCACCCCTTTCTCCCCCCCCCCCCCCATGTGTCGCCCCCCCGGGAAGCGACGCCCAAGGGCCCAAGGGGGCGACGCCACGGAAGGGGACGTCGGACGGGGCCAGGACGGGGAGAACATCTGCTCGGAGCCTTCCAGGACGCTCTCGGAGCGTTCCGGGAGCGCTCTGAGAAGGCCGCCGGCGGCCGAGGCGCCCTCCAGAGCCGCGCGATTCCAGAGATCATCGATGTCTCCTCGCCCGATGTCTGCCCTCGTCCTGGCCTCGTCTCAGGGTGGCTTGCTGTGGGGGTCGGTGGGGCAGCCCCCGCGAGGTCAACGCGGTGCTGCGGCACCTGTCCCTGGACTACAGCCAGATGGGCGACGTGGGGGCGGCGTGCCTCGCCGCCGCGCTGAAGAAGAACACCGCCCTGAGGACGCGGTCTTGTCCGGGGGGGCGAGATCGGGGGCATTTTTGTTGTGCTTATCTCAGAGCCCCGAGTCATCAGGGGTAACTCGGGTCAGGGATAACTCGGGTTCGTTTTTTGGGAATCCAAACCCGAGTTACCCCGGACCCGAGTTACCCCAGATAACTCGGGCGTCCAGAGCCCCGAATCATCAGGGGTAACTCGGGTCAGGGCTAACTCGGGTTCCTTTTTCGGGAATCCAAACCCGAGTTACCCCAGACCCGAGTTACCCCGGATAACTCGGGCGCCCAATTATCCTTGAGGATAAGCAAAGCTCCAGCAACCGATGGCTTGCCCCACGGGGCCAGAGAAGGGGTCGGCACTGGGGCGGCGGCGCCAGGTGCCCCACGGGGCCAGAGGAGGGGTCGGCGTTCCTGGCGCGTTTCCAGAGGTCTCCCCGCCTTCTCCACCTCCGATGGGACGGGGCTCCGAGGACGCTGCTGATGCGCAGCGGCGATGTGACGGCCCGGGGCGCCGTCGACCTCGCCGGGGCCTTGGCGGAGAACTCGAGCCTCGAGGCCCCTCTGCGTGGGAGGGGCGCACGGATTGACCCTGGGCTTGGTGATGGGCCTGTTTTCCACCACCACCACCATAAGTTGGAGGGGGAGGGGGTCCTCCTCCTCCTCCTCCTCCTCCTCCTCCTCCTCCTCCTCCTCCTCCTCCTTCTCTTCGTCCTCCTCTTCGTCCTCCTCTTCGTCGTCGTCCTCCTCCTCCTCCTCCTCCTCCTCCTCCTCTTCGTCCTCATTCTCCTCCTCGTCCTCCACCTCCCTTCCCCCTCCAACTTATGGTGATGGTGGTGGAAAGCAGGCCCATCACTTGGGGCGGGGCAGCCCATCGCTTTGCCCACTCCACCGGCCCAGACCATTCCATCGCGGGCGCAAGTGAGGCGTTCCATCAAGGGACTTGCCTGGGAGGATCGAAGAAGGAGTTGTCATCTCTTCTGCGGCGAAGGGCGGCGGATGGGCGGCGGCGCGTCGGCGGAAGTGAAACGAGGCCGCCTCCGCCGGCGGACGCCGGCGGAAGGGTGGCGGAAGGGTGGCGGAAGGTAGCGGAAGTAAGCAGTGCGGCCCCGAGATGTGAGAGCATTTTTGGGCTCACGGTTTCCTGGATCCGCCAAGTGCTTACCAGCCTGGAACATATCCCTATCCCTATGCTGGGCACCTCCTCATGACGATGCCAATCTTAGGGATTCCCTTATTTTTTGAGGGCGAATCCCTAAGATTGTCATCGCCTTTTGGCGTGTCAATCTTAGGGATAGGGATACGTTCGAAGCTGGTAAAGTGCGGCGGATGGCACGACCCTGGGCTCGGGGCGGGGCATCGCATCGCTTCGCTCGTTCCGCCAGCCTAGACTGTTCCATGACGGGCGAATGTGGGGCGGATGGCCCAACCTTGGGCTCGGGGCGGGGCATCGCATCGCTTCGCTCATTCCGCTGGCCCAGACTAGTCCATGACGGGCGAATATGGAACGGATGGCCCAACCTTGGGCTTGGGGCGGGGCATTTCATCGCTTCGCTCGTTCCGCTGGCCCAGACTAGTCCATCGCGGGCGTATATGGGGCGGGTGGCCCAACCTTGGGCTTGGGGCGGGGCATTTCATCGCTTCGCTCGCTCCGCTGGCCCAGACTAGTCCATCGCGGGCGTATATGGGGCGGATGGCCCGACCCTGGGCTTGGGGCGGGGCATTGCATCGTTTTGCTCATTTCGCCGGTCCAGACTAGTCCATCGTGCGTCGGGAGCCTTGAGACGGGGGTCAATGCAAACGGGGGTCATCCAGAGCGGCGGATCTCGCATGATCCTGCGGAGCCGGGGATGCATTGATCCGGCTAGTGCGCAGGATCCCGCAGGATCCCGCGGAATTTCTAGGATCTTGCAGCGCCTAGTCGACCGCGCGTCCCCGAGCGGGCGCATGTGCCCGCGTGTTCGCTTCCGCCGTGGCGCTGGCGGGTGGTGTGGCAGTTCCCCTCGAGGCCCCCGGCGGGAGCAGGAGAGCGGCGGATGGCCCAGACCTGGGAGAGGCATCGGGGGGGGATGCATCGGCCCCCAATCGTCCACTCATCGCCGACAGGGGCCTGACAGCCCCACCCCGCCCAGGAACGCTGGGCTGTGTGTTCTCGGGGGCCCATCGCCGATCCATCGGCGATGTTCTGC